TGGGTCCCTGGCTTGCACTTACCGGTTTGAGCACTCACAACATCGAGAAATGCCTCAACTTAAAAAATCGAATTTTGAATTTGTAGCACTTTGGATTCAAAGGGGCTAATGCATTTGATTTTGAATGTCCCCTCTGAATGTGTGACGTCAGCGCAGATCTAACGATTTTAAATCTTTTACTAAAACGTTTGGCAGCACGTGGTGGTAAATGCCGATTTGCGCGCAACAGGGGCCGCACTTTCAGCAGCCAAATTATTGCTTTCAAATAAAGTCGCTAGGAACAGCGGAGATCCCAAAAGTAAAAAAGAAGTAAAAGTATAACATCTTAAAACCGGTGAACATTTTTTGGTGAAATTTGGTAGATATTCGTTTTTGCTCTTTCTGAACCGAGCGACAAGTAAGGCCCAAGGCCTAGTCCCGAGGACTAGTAAGGCCTAAACGTTGACCTTAGGTAACAATTGAGGACGTTTATACATACAAGTTTTAAAAGAGCTGCATATTATGCGCCTTTTTCTTGATATTCTAGCTCTAGCTCATTGTTAAAAAAAAATGAGGAAACTCCATTTGAACGTAGAAAATTTCACATCTGGTGACCTTACCTGTAACTAAACCTTAAAATAGCCAAGTTAATGGTCTATGATTATTTTAACATTCATTGAACGCCGCTTATCCCGTGTCGATGTGTGACCCAGCCCCAAGGAGTCGAGTGAGGCGGGGGGGGGGGCCTTAACCCTCGCCCTGGCAGGGCTTCTATGGCACCTAGCAGGGCGAGGGGGGGTCGCCTTCTATGGCAGGGCGACCCCCCCCCCCCTCGCGATTGGCTTCTATGGCACCTAGAAACACCAAATTTGGTAGGTAGGTGGGCCCCCTGGAGTTCTCGCCTCTGTGCAACTTTGGTTGCTCTAGGTCAATTTTTAGGGGGGTTTTGGGGGGTATAAATGTAAAAATTTCGCTAAAAACATGTCAAAAGTTTTTCGCTTATAACTTTTGATCTATTTAAGATAGAGCAAAAGGAAAAGCACCAGTGAACTCAGCACGTCAAGGCGCGTCGAATGGTATACTTTTTAGCTTGCTTAAGTGTGCTTAAAGCACACTTAAGCGAAATTCTTCTTAAATTTTAAGTGAACTTTAATTTATTAATTAAGTTCAACTTAACTAAATTGCATCATATCGCATATCGTTCGATTTGGCTGATCACAAGGAACACAATGATACCATTTTTTAAGCTCTAGCTTCATTATGTGCCAAGTTATTGGCAAAAACGTCATTTGACCTCGGTTGACCTCATTTGACCTGACCCATAGATAAGTACACCAAACAAAGAAGCACCAAGTGACCTGCTGTTAAGTACTGTGGTTTCAAAGCACAAAAAAGATAGAACGAAGCGGATATCTCAGTATTTTCCGAATTTAGTATTTTCCCATAGGCTTAACATTATGACGTAATGACCTCTAACTGACCTCAGGTCAGTGACCTCAAAAAACCCGAACTATATGTTATACAACTCAGTGAACTTAGCACACCCTGAAAGTTTGAAGGAAATCAGTCAAAAGCTGTGAGTTGGACAGGTGCAAACAGAAAATTGAAATTTGACCATGACCTTGTACCGGTTTTTCTGACCTGGTGACCTGACCCAAGGTCACCCGGACCTTGAAATTTTCAGGTCATATGTAAAAAGGTTGCCCCATAGGCTGTGCCAAATTTGGCGGCGCTGCACGCCGCCGTTTTTACGCTATCTTCGAAAAACCTTAGGGGGGGGTCGCATCGACCCCCCCCCCCCTGCCAGGGCGAGGGTTAAAACGCTACCCCTTTCCGCGCTGTGTCACGAATGTGCCTGAGCGCCACCCAGCACCGGATAAATGGGACCAAGAACGCAACTAGGACACGTCTTTTGCCGTTTGTAAAGTGAATTGAAGCATATGTGTTAATTTGCTTCTTATGCCCCTCTCCCCTCCCCATAATGAATTTCTTATTTTAGGGGCTCAAAAAGCAGCTGAAATAGAGGAAAACTAAATGTCTTCTCATCATTAAAATTGATTAGCCATTTATCGAAATAACACGGTTTTAAGTTTTAACTTTCCCTCTTCCGCCATAAATTGAGCGGGTCTACGAGTACCAAGAAAAGAGTTATCAGTACGGGAACTATAGACAAAGGCGCGTCCATTCACACATTCCGATGGCGGAAAATCCCGAACGCACCGGACCCGGAGCCGGGAGCTGTGGCACAGACCGGCACCGCCTACCGCCCACCGGCGGCGGCTGCCGGGCGGTGGCGGGGGCGGTGGCGGAGGCGGCGCAGCGGCGGCGGCGGCGGCGGCGCGCCCGGCGCGGTGCGCGCCCATATAGGCAGGTGTGAGCGGCCGTCTCTGACCGAGGATGGGTGCGCGCCGTCTGCCCCTGGTGCTGGCGGTGTCGGCGGCGGCGGCCGTCAGTGCCGTGCTGCAGCCGCGGACCAGCTCAGGTGGGTGCCGACACCGTCCGACACACACCGACACCGTCCGACACACACACTAACACCGTCCGACACACACCGAGACCGTCCGACACACACAGACACGACACCGTCCGACACACACAACGACACACCTACATCCAGACACACACACTGCCGCGGTACTGCCGGACACTGCACTGACTGGAAGGGACGGACACTGCACTGACTGGAAGGGACGGACTCTGCACTGACTGGAAGGACGAACAACGGGACGTGGAGAACGATGTCCGCTGCCGCCCCTCCCTCGAAACATCCGCAGATTAGCACCCATAGACAATACGAAACCGACTTGGAGAGTGTTTTACCCCGAGAGGAGCAGGCTTTGATACGAGCACGGAACTGTCAGGTAATCTGTGCGTGTTGTCTGTGTCTGTGTGTGCGTGTAATCTACTTAATTCTGTGTGTGTGTGTGTTGATGGTACAACAGACATACAATCTGTGAGCGGGGTGATATCGTGAGGTAGAAAATTAATTAAATAAAAATGTTTAGAGCTCATATTATTCAAAGGACACCTAGTTGTTCGTAAACGTGACACTTCTTGAGATAAATTGTTGCATTGCTTAGATTCAAAGCTAAGCCTAAAAAAGTAACGATTGGTGTACCTAACCGTATGTACAACTGTATTATGTCCATGGCGGACATGCGTGCTTGGCACGACGAACAGCACGTTGATTAAGTGCACACTTTGCATAGGCAATTAAGTTCATACCTACACTTATTTTCAAACACTGCAATTTATGAAGATCACAAGCTGATCAACGTCTCCTTCACGACTTTGTAAGCGGCTCAGCAGTGTAGGCGGTAATTGCGTGGTCTGGCCATTTCATTTGGACATAGTTCAGGTAATGAATGGGTGCAGTATTGACACTGAACAATCGTGCACTCAGTACTCGATGAAAAGTCATTTGAAAGGCAAATAGCAAGTTTATAATATAAGTGCATACTTCTCTCGTCATAACAAAACAGTGCACTGAACATAAGTGTAGATAAATCAAGAAGGAGGCAGCATAGTGACACTCAAAGCTGTAAGAAATAGCTTCTTTTTGTATGCACAAAAATGAGACCGCGGTATTTGAAATCATTTTAGAACGTAAGGTGAACCCAGTTATAATATACAATGACAATCTGTCCGTCCGCGGTCCGTCCGTCCGGTATGTCAGCCTGCCTGCCTGTCTGTCTGTATAGGTCCGCCGGCCTTTCTGACCTTTTCACCGTCTCAGTGTGTCTCTCTCTCCCCCAAATAGAAAAATTGGTGCTTCTTTTTGACTGCGCTGACCTGACCTAGCCTGATATCGACCTGACACTTACTGAAAGACCACAAGATTTTACCCCGAACGTCAAATCCGGTTTTATATGTGCGATCAAAAGCGCAATCGGTGACAAAATTCAAACTTGTGACAATGACATGACCTGGTGACCTGACCTAAGGCCAGTCATTTTTTCACCTCACGTGCTGCACGCCCATAGCCTCGTTCGCAAATGTATTTATCTCTAACTCTATTTTGCCAGCTGTTTGCCAGCTGAAAGTTAGCAATTGTGACGTTGAAATTTGCTTTGCAAGAGTTTAAAAATCGGCCTGAGACGTTATAAGGTTGGCTAGATTTTTTTTTCTTGCTTCAGAAGATACCTAACTGAAAGTTTTGCGCATATAACTTCAAGCGTTCGAGAGCTACCGCAGATATTTGTCGGGGGGGGGGTGGAGGGGGAGAAAAACGCCTCCCGGGACTGCGCGGATAAACTGGAACCTAAAGACCACATGTGGATGTGGACCAGCCTTTTAATAAACACGCATTAACCAAGGTTAGAGACAACAGCACAGCTCTAACATTCTGATCTAAAGACACCAACTGACACATTCGCACTCGCTCGTAGCAAATGTCAGCACTCACTATCGCAGTGCTTTTCTGAATTCGATTTCGTTTTTCGATGACTGCATTGCTATTATCACTTCGTACAGAAAAGATACGTTGAAATCATATTCATTCTAGCAATGCAGTTCCATAGAGTGGGAGTACGCAACATAACAAAAATACGATATCCGTTTACATTTCAGTTTTCTTTTTCATTTGCAAGGTTATTGTGGGTAAAGGCGATGCACCCTGAAAAAGGGCGCCTGTACCCATAAAGCATTAGCACACTTACGCCATAGAAGGTGTGCCTAAGCTAAAACCCCTCCGACCGGCCCATCGGTACGTTGCAGTGCTTCTCAGCCGTGGCTGGTCGGACACCGGTCTGAGCCGGGCACAGGCACGGTCCCCATGGACCGAGGACCGGTCCCCATGGACCGAGGACCGGCCACCGAGGGCCGAGGACCGGCCACCATGGACCGAGGACCGGCCACCGAGGGCCGAGGACCGGTCCCGGTGGACCCGGAGGTGGCCGCGCCTTCTGGAGGTCCTGCGCACCCAGCGGCAATGGTCGCACCCTCCGGTGGGGTCCACCAGGCCGCTATACGCTCCAACGGGGGCCGTCCGACCGCTGCACCCTCCGCCGGGGTCCATCCGACCGCTCCACAGGCCACCGGCCATCCGAGAAAAGCGGCAGGTAAGACACCTATCTCGGAGACCCCATACGTTTTTCCCGGCAACTGCAATGTGATGGTGATGTATTTCATACTGCTAACATATTCACAACGTGCTGGGCGGTAGGCGCTCATTATATTTAATGGAATTTACCTATATTTTTTGGACCAAGATGCAACCAATACATGGAACGAATGAGGTAATCAAGCATGTCATAATGAAAACAAATATGACTTACGCCAAACAATAGAAGCAATGCGTTGCATTTGATAGCACAATCAATTGTTTCGGAAACCAATCTAATCTTTTGTTCACAGAGAGCGCGACTAATTTCGCGAGCAACGGTAAGACTATATGCCTACATATAAAGCCAAATGAAGCATAGGCACCCAACTTACCTATGTCTTCTGTTCAAGTTCCAATGCCCAGTGCCCATCTTGTTGCATGCTCAAGTATGATCAATGTTTAATGATGTGATTGTACATGGAATGCTTCACTTTTGTTAAAAACCTTTGTCTAAGCTATTGTTTTTTACTTTTGTTTTACTGAGAGGGTGTAACAGCATTGTTAACGCCATTGAGAGAAAATGCTTTTACCACTCACAGCTGAATGTCCTTTTTCTTTTCAGCGAAAGCAGCCAAACTTAGGAGCATCTGTAAGTACCAATGAGACTCGATCATGGTTTCACACTTGGCTCGAACTTACCTTTGACAAAGCGCCATCGCGCTGAAGTTATGGTAAAGACTGGAATGAAGTGGAATGTCAAATCAAATCCTCTGTCCTAATCCAAATCGAAAACTTATAGGGAATCATGAAGGAGGAGCTCAGCAAGATTGAATCAGCTCCCACAGAAAACAGACTTTAGAGGAACCTGTAAAAGGTGTGGCTGAACATCAGCGCCGATACTCTGGACATTTTGATCTATGGAATGCCAAAACGGATGAGGGAATGGGCAGGACAGGGCAGGGGATAAATCGGTACCTAAATAAACCATGATCCGGGGCTCTTTGTTTATTAATTATGGCGGCGAGCTGATGGAGGGGCAAATAATTTCCAGACACCCTGTATGTAGTCGTGTGGCTTCCTGAACCCGTGCCAGGGTGGTGGTCTAATCTTAACAGTCTGCGGCGGGGTGACGCGGCGTTTTTACGCCCCCACCCTAAATCGACACCTAAGCCACGCTGAAAAACTCTGTTAGAGACATTCAAAAGACAGTCAATCGTGACGAAAGTACTTGAGTCAATTTCTTAGGTCAGGTCACTATAGGACATCGAAGGTCACAGCTTCCCAACTTTGAGGTTGTTGGGCAAATCGGCTCATAACTCGTGACGTTCCAGAGTTAGAACATTGCATAAAAAGTATTTAATAGCTCTTTTACAGCTCGTTCTGTAAAGTGCACTCATATTTGACCAAAGGCTAACGTTTTATCTACAGAGGACAAAAACGGTCAAATTGACGTTTTTGTAGAAACAAATTTTGTGCAATATTTCTTTTTTACACAAATCATTACGGAGCGAGCGGAGCAAGCGAAGCCTTACGTATAATAGCAGAAATGTCTGAGTGTGAGCTGTCGGCCGGCCGGCCGTGGTCACGCTTTTGCGAAGTTTATATCTCCGCAACCACTGGACCAATTTACTTGTGGTAATTTTTATAGGATAGCTTCATTCCTTCTTTCATATACTGAACTATTACCGATGCATGTGGGTTACCCCTTATGCACGTAAAACGAAGAGGTATCAGCTTTGCAACAATTGCAATACCTTGGCAATTACTGGGCCGATTGCGCTGAAACGTGGAATTTAGGTAGGCACCCACCAGGCAATGCCTACCCATCCATGTGTCACGGATAGATAGATAGATAGATAGATAGATAGATAGATAGATAGATAGATAGAATAAATTTATTTCATTTATCAAGACACGTAAAAAACAAAGATAGCCAATTGGTGCAAAAACATTTTTGCTTAAATCGCAGCACCTCTCGGCTCTTAATGCTATCGCCCGAGTCGGATCACCTCACCACCGCCCGCACGCCCGCGCCGCTGACCCGCGTCCGACCGCTCCGGCTCCGGACGGCCCCAGGGGGCAGCCCCCCCCCAGTCCGGTAGGCTACCTGAAGTGTCCTGAATCAGATAAGAATTTTTGAAAGAGCTGGGCCACCACCTGATAGCCACCTCTCGCAGGATTGGGTCCATAATAAGAGAGAAAATCGGAGGAGTGGAGAACAGAAACGTTAATTTCGGGGTGCTCCTTGGGGGGGGGGGCTGGGGTTGGGGTGCTGCTGCACGTGCGCACGTGCAGGGGTCGTTACGGCTGAACCGATTGCGCTCAAATTTAGTACACGGTTGGGGACCGGTTAAAAGGTCGGATAGATCTACAGAGGGCAAAGACCGAGCCTCTTTATACCGAGCATATTGTGTAAGACCGCCTCTTTAGAGCCTCTTTATACCGAGCATATTTTAACTATATGCTCGGAAAGACCGAGCAAAGTTAAAATATTGATTGCTACCAGACTGATTGATTGCTGCCAGGTTTGCTACCAGGCTGATCACTGACAGTGTTCTTGTGTTCTCCCCGGGCTGCCCATAGATGGTGAGTACTGGGTGGGCAATGCAAGAAGCCATTCATAATCGCCTGAGCAACACCATGGAATAAATACCAGCTCCACTTACCTAATCGTATTTAGCAGACTATCATGCATTGGTGGTGGTTGTGCCTTCAATAGTTATTACGTAATGGAGTATCGGAGAAGCAAGTTGGAGTTCGTTAACATGTATTTGTAAGTCAAAGGCTTATTTTGACTTCTCGGCTAATCTATGTGTTTTTGAACAATGGATTTACACGATGATGACGCTTCATTACCGCCATGGTAGCATAATCGATGACAAATTCCCCCTCCACATGCCGCCAATGAAAGATGTGCGCGGTAAGTAACCTTATTTCGAATACAATGTGCAATGTTCAGAGCATACCCGCGATACAAAACAACTAGACTCGATACACAGAAGGGAGCTGAAAGTGAAAAGTATGTACAGAAAACAAGGCAAGGAAAGCAAGGCAATGTTATTGATTGACCTGGATTGCAAAGCAAAAAAGCATTAAAAGTGCCTGAAGCCTTCTGAACTGAACTGACTGATTGTAATATAATGTACCTACGCAAAATCTCACGACGCATTTCGTCAAAAAAAAAAAAACTACATCCACCCTGATAGGGAAATCATCATTAGCCATCATTAGTCATTACCACACATTGGCATATCACATGCCACCTCGCGTGCGCGTGGAAGCACGGGTCATGCAGATTACAGGAATGAATGAGCCAAACATGCTGATTATAATCACCTCCGAATACCTATAGGTACCCGAGCTCACAGAACATGTAACTTATACATTAACGCACCACAAATTTGCTAAAATGTGTACCTTATGCAACTTTGCTAGTACCAATATTGCATACTAAAAAAGAACTACTTTGAACACAAATTTTGATCCATTGCAAAAACCCACAAAAACTGTGGTCAAGATCAGTTGTTACTTATTGTGCGATATGTATTCAGAAACCATGACCCTATTGCGGTGAGAGCTTACATCTTCCAGTGTCTAAATGTATAAATTGGTATGTACAAAACAAACATTTGCATGTATAATTTGTAATGTAAAGAATAACGATGTACGAGTGGTGATATGCCACTGACAATGTTCCGCTGTTATACATGTCTAACCCGATGCAGTATCATCCGAGGGTAAGTATGATTCAGACACATTTAACTGGATGCTTATCATCATAAATCCGTCTAATGCACTATGGAGTAGCAGCATTCCATTAATCTGCGCCATGTTGGGGCCTTGGGCTAATTGGCGGACCCTAACACCTGTTGGGGGTCGGCTTTTTGCCCCCCCCCCTCAAGACCTCGGAACGTTACCAACCAATTTTGAAAATCCAAATGGCGTTCAATAGCCCCACCGGGAACTACCTTAAAATTGTTGACCTACGATGACGTCACAGGTCAGGTCAAAGGCCGCATTTTCACCGATTTTTACCGCCGTGCGCCTTCTAAGGAATGCGTTATGACATCGAGTAAAGGACATGCTATCGAAAATCATCGATGGAGCGTTGGTTGCTTAAAGAGGTCATTAATACCAGGTCAGGTCACAGAGGTCAGGTCACTAAGGGTCACAGTATGAACTCAACTAGGGTAGTGTGGGGTAATTTGAACATATTTTTACGTCTTCTCCGTTGTACCAAATTCCAGCTCAACCCTGCATGAAGAAAAACTGTTTCAGTAGCGCATGTGTCACTTGCTTTCACCATGCAAACCTCATTTTTGGACGAGCCGAGCATACCTTGAATAGCATAGCATCACTTCTCCACCAAGTCACGGTGTGTTCAAATTGCCCCACCGTGGGGTAATTTGAACATACTGCCTTTACCTGCCATAAAAACGATAGTCTCGCCAGTACCGATGTTGTTTGACCCATAAACGAATAGGCAGAGCAATTCTAAACATACCATCATTTGAAAAATCAACACAACAACAAAAATAAGAGTTGCAGAGTATCAATATCTGCACGCTGCATACCGGTCAGTTGACAGAATTCGCCTCTCTTCAATTAACAGAACGTCTGTAATCTCCGTTCGATAAAAACTCTACCAAACCTTACTTCATCTGTTATAGTGGTGCCAATCGGAACCTGGTCATTCGGAGTTCCGATTCTTTATAATGTCCAATTCGGAATTGATTGCACAAAGGTATAGTAGTCTGGACAACGTTGGACGATGGCCTGCCACACTTAAGCATTTTTATCAAGTAATCGTGCGTAGCATTGATTGGCGAATGGAAAGCTTGTTAAGCTCTAAATATAATGAACACTTTTCGGCTGGTAAAATTACATGATAAGCAACATAAATGACTGTTTTGAGTGTTTATAGCTACATAATTTTCGGACATATTTGGACAAATAGTTGACGTTGACTTTAACATTTTTGGACGGAAAATCAACGAAAATGCCGGACATTAGACGGATATAAGACGTAAATTTTCTAAAACTGGCAACACTTAGGTGCTACTGCTTTGGGTCCAAAATATTGGCAAAAAAACTGGGAGCGTTGTTTTTTTCGGAGCTATCCCTGTCTTCATTGAAATTCTCACACTATGTTCAAATTACCCCACGCTAAAAGTTATTTTGCCATTTTTGAAAACAGGGTTCAAAAGTAAATTTCTTGGATTAAAGGCACTGGTTAGGTCATTGTACAACAAAAGCCGTTGCGTATTAAGGCCTGGCTACACTATGCGTTTTCTGCGTGCGTTTTTTGCGGGTTTGCGTTTTTTGCGTAATATCGTTCTAGAAAAAAACTTTAAATAATATAAGTTTTACATTATTTAAACACCAAAGTTAATTTAAATCTTATATTAACAAAAGTTTATTATAAAAAACATCAAAATAATGTAATATCGTTTATTCTTCTAGAACGATATCACGCAAAACCCGCAATAACGCAAAAACGCACGCAGAAAACGCATAGTGTAGCCAGGCCTTTAGGCGCTAGCAATGCAAGATTTTGAGCTGCAATGAAGTTGCAATGACGTGTTGTTAGGCGTTTATCCTTGCGAAATTGATTTTTTACACTGTGCGTCAACATCTTCATTCCCTGAAACTTTAAACCCCGTTCATATGATAGCCCTTTTAGTTACGATAATTTCTCTCAATGGTCTTATTGTCATCCCACTTATGGATTTTCCGTAATTTTGTGTTATTCACACTATGTTCAAATTGCCCCACATGTTCAAATTACCCCACTCTACCCTATACTAGCCCGCGCACCGACGGGGGTCTGCGCCAACTTCGCACCGACGGGGGGGGGCGGATGACCGCCCCCCCCTGAGATCTCGAGAACGAAGCAAGATAGCGACAAGCGGTAAACGGCATCGGATACGCACGGCCAAGATCTACAATTTTTACAAAGGTCATTTTCAGGTCAGGCCAAAGATGACGTCACAGGGGTCGAAAAAGTCAAAATGGCGGCGCTAGATATGGAGAGAGTTTTTCTCGAATAACTTTCGAATTAGTCAAGATAGGAACAAACTAAGGGCATCATCGTGATCCTCTCGTCAATCCGCATCGAATGCTATATATGTTGACCTGGAAAGGTCAAGGTCAAAGGCTGACCTCAGGTCACGTGACCTCGAGGTCATCATGTATATCATTCGATGCGTCTTGACGAGCTGAACACAATGAGACCATCCACGCGTCTGTATCTTGTTCCTGTACGGAGTTATTGGCCAAAAACCTTTGGTGACCTTTGATGACGTCACATGACCTCACAGCTGCCCAACAGCAAAACAGACCTCAAGGTAGTGAAGGTTGATCGTATATGAAGTCATGTATGGTATATGGGGCCATTCCGACCCGTTTTAGTGGTAAAAACAGGGAGTTGATTTTTCCCCCATTGACTTATAACACTATGCAACAGTCATTTTGTTCCTGAGTAACGACCGATTTTTTGGACTCATTGGGTCCCATTATAACCGAAATGGGCATTTGTTTTGATCTGAAAATGCTTTTCCGGTTTTCAGAGACGATTTTCGATTTTTGGCCCCGAAATTCGGTTTTTGGCCCACTGTGTCCGGTGTAATTGAGTAATCGACTCGCGGTAACTTTCATCGCCCTTCCTATGCCACAAGCTTTCGAATGATATCCGGTTTTGCATATTTGCGTGTAAAAATAACGTCATAAATCTATGTTAAAGTAAGAAAATATTGAAATTTTGTAAAAATTTGACATTTTTTTCGATTTCATTTCAAAATAGAGAAAAAACTAAAAGCCCTATCCAAATTCTGAGCCCAGTTCCTTGAAGAGCATTCAATTTCCGTTCGGAAGGTACTATTTTAGTGCATTTTATCGGTTTACTGTGGCGTCCAGATTGAGTCACTTGAAAAACGGGCCCCCAACAGATCAAGATTCTGAGCGACAGGACTGCTCAAAAGTAAGTTCCTGCGTGTGACCCGAGGTCACAAGGGGTCAACAAAATGACCTCAGTTGACCCCTCGTTGATCCTATGGCGTTAACATACGTTATCAGGTTAATGCTATGTGATATGACTTAGGATATGTGTTTAGGTTAACTCAATCTGGACGCCACAGGAATCCGATAAAATGCACTAAAAAGGTACCTTCCGAACGGAAATTGAATGCTCTTCAAGGAACTGGGCTCAGAATTTGGATGGGGCCTTTAGTTTTTCCTCTATTTTGAAATGAAATCGAAAAAATGTCAAATTTTTACAAAATTTCAACATTTTCTTACTTTAACATAGATTTATGACGTTATTTTTGCACGCAAATATGCAAAACCAGATATCATTCGAAAGCCTGTGGCATAGGAAAGGCGATGAAAGTTACCGCGAGTCGATTACTCAATTACATCGGACACGGTGGGCCAAAAACCGAATTTCGGGGCCAAAAATCGAAAATCGTCTCTGAAAACCGGAAAAGCATTTTCAGATCAAAACTAATGCCCATTTCGGTTATAATAGGACCCAATGAATAAGAAAAATTCGGTCGCTTTCCAGGAACAGAAAATTTTTCATTTTTTGTTGCATAGTGTAATGGGGAGGTCGCGAAATTGACCTGACCTTAGGTCACCGATATCAAAATTCCGAGATATACAAATTGTAGCTACTAATGACCTTATAATATCCTGCGACTTTCAAAGGCCTCCGACATCTACTGTAGCTCTGGCACGGTGACAAAGTTGCAAAAAAGTGACTTGAGGTTGGGTCATTCAAAGTGACCTGGTGACCTGACCTTAAAAGGTAGGAGGTTCAAACTTGCACACCATGTGTAAAATTGATGAGGTTATAGTCATACCAAATTTCGTGGCGCTACGCGCCGCGGTTTTCCCGCTATTCGCGAAAAACCTCAGGGGGGGGCGGATATCCGCCCCCCCCGTCGGTGCGAGGGCTAGGGTCGTGTGATACATGTTTTATGGCCAATTTTACATTTCAAATCCAATGGTGTGTGACGGGTTAGAAGACCATTGGGACCGGTTTAGGTTGCGTTCTGGTGGAGGTCAGGTCAACATCAGGTCAAAAAGGTCAAATTTCAAAGTTCATATTTTTGCACAAAAAGGTTATCTATTCGATGCAGCTCATCACGGGGAATCCAATGGTGGTCTTCGTTTTACTCTTCATGGTCTAAAACGGCAAAAAAAGTTTGCAAATTTTTCGTCATAAATTTTGAGTAATTTAAACTTTGCAAAAAGCAAAAAATGGAGCTATCGAGCTAGGTTTCGCATGACAAACGCAAGCTTGGGTTTCTATAACATATATTTCGGTGTTCCAAAATTTTGGAATTGTTTGGTATTTTGGGGTATTATATAAAAAGCACTTCTGAGTATTGGAGGGCCAAAGCCAAAATTTTCAAAAATCCGAGAAAGCAGTTTTGTAGCCCTGTTAATTTTACAGCTTTTACTTGCAATATCAGTGTGTAGTGGCAGTGGCAGTAATTAGTGTGCAGTGACCAGGGTGGCAGATACAGGGTAGATTAGGTATAAAAACGTTTATTTCACATTAGTAACGTTTCGATGTCCTCTCCAATCCGCTCGGGGCTGCTGGCCGTCCCTAGAACTGCTCTCCAATGAGAGACGCCGCTTCGGCACAAAGCTCAGCCGAGAGGGTGGCTTATTCATGCAGCTGGGCAGCTTTTTCCGCTTTTGACCGCTGAGGAGCGCACGTACACCGGACCTCCGGAACTTATGTTTATTCACTTCCCGGGCAGGACCACTCCAAAGTTTCCTCCACCACCTTCGTCCGACGCCTTGGGCAGGAGCGAATGTCTTCACATTTTTATTGGCATACAGAGAACGGCCGCAGGCGCGGAGGCCGCTCCGTATCTCACAGTCGTGAGGGAGGGAGAGCGAGGAATGGAGGGGAGGGGAGGCAGAGGGAGGAGCAGGCCCGCCGTGCTGTCTGACCCGTGCGTCTCCCTGCCGACAAGGCTGACACGCCGCCGTCTCTGCCGACAGAACTGCTTGGCCGAGGTAAGGGCACGGAGGAGCCGGCCGGCCCAGCAGTTCGGCAGACCGCAGCCGCCGCAGGTTTGACGCTCCGTCTGTGGTGGAGCCCACCGGCATGTCCCGGCGCACCGTGTCACTGGCATGTGGCGGCACCAGTCCCGGCACCGCCGTCACCACCGTGTCACCACCCCGGGACCCTGGCACCGCCGTGTCACCACACCGGCACCTCAGTGCAGCGGCAGCACCCCGCATCTGACCGTGGTCACAGTCACACCCCTGCACTGGCGTAGTTGGCACAGCCGGACAATAGACAGTAGAATACCGCCCTGTCACTAGCTGGCATGCAGCGTCACGACTTTATCACTGTCACCAGTCAAGGTCTGTCACCTGGTCCTGTCACACTGTCACTCTCACCGTCTGACCGTTCCAGCTAAAAACGGCCTGAACGCCAGATAGTAGAGCAGTCCGCATGAGACTCAGCTTTACCTCCGTGCATGGTAGGTATCAAACACTGGCCGGTACGTCGAAACGCCCGAGATGTCTTCTAGCTGTGCACGTAAACGGGATTATTCTATTCGGTAGTCGTTTATCATGATAATGTTTGAATGTCAGTGTTTGAATGTTTTGGTTTATCAAAATTAAAGGCATATGTCTGCGTACTTGAATGAAAAACATTAATTACCTGGACGAATGCAGACCATACACTTGGACTGGTGACGGTGTGAATAAGATCACGAGCATGGACTGATGACAGAGTGAATGAGATAACGAGCGACCACATGTTACAATTCTGCAAAATTGTCGGGGATCTCAAATTCGTTTTTCAATAGAACACACAATTCTAACGAATAGTTGTTTAACCACTGAACAGAAACAATTGGTTACACAAGTAGGTACACACTACACAGACTTCCCCAAGGAAATATATAATGCATTAAAAATGCCATTCAACGTTCAAAACACCATCCAACGTGGATTCATTCAAGAAATATTGGAACTGACACAGTTATAATATAGGTTTGAATAGACGTCTTGCCACTGCCCCACCAAATCGATGGCATTTTAATTAATGCCCACCTTCGGTACGTTTGAAATAATTCGTCCAACCAAAAGAACGCGAGCCTCCAAGTAACCCACAGTTGTGGCTGAGCACGCAACCGAGCACTAAGGCACACAAGCACACACTCCTAGCGCATCTAATGGAACTTCGATGGGCTGCTGAACTTCTTTAAGGCGCACTTTATTATAGGACTTCGGATGTCATTACTTTCAAAGAATGTCGCTAACGAATAAAAGAGCCAAGCGATACATTGTCCTACCTTAACTCGGCGTATATGAGACAGCGGCACAACGCTCGCAGCCCATAAAGCCAGTTCGATCACACCTGGAAACATATAGCAATAATCACATCAAACGTTTGCGACGTCCATTGAAGGCTCCTCTCAGACTGCAGCATTTACCTCTCCCATTCACCGCCGTGACGTCACAATGACGTCACATGGTGCTGCCCGTCTCTATCACCTCACCCCTCGCCCCGGTCGGCGTAGATTCTAACAATGTAGATGCTCGCTCGTATGCTGTGAGTCTGTTACGCTCACCGGCGGACGCGTGCCGCAGTCTCGGACTCGACGGCAGCAGTACGCGGCTGAGCAGCTGCGACAGCGGGCCTTCAGCGGCCAGCTGGTCGACACGGGCGCGCACACACCGCCGCCGCCACAACGCGAGGCAGGGAGCCAGTGGCCGGACAGCGAACCACCGCCGCACCGCACAGGTGAGGGCCAGCGGCCGGACCGCGACCCGCAGTTACACTCAACAGGTGAGGGTCACTGGCCAGCGGCCGGATCGCGGCCCGCAGTTACAACCAACAGGTGAGGGCCAGCGGCCGGCCCGCGGCCCGCAGTGACACCCAACAAGTGAGGGCCAGCGGCCGGACCGCGGCCCGCAGTTACACCCAACAGGTGAGGGTCAGCGGCCGACGCAGTTACACGGCACAGGTGAGGGCCAGTGGCCGCCGAAAGGTTCACAGCCGTCTCCAGGCCGACTACAGATCGCATCAGAGTGCATCGTGCCAATGATGAACCGATCAAGAGCATTCTACCAACTGCAAAGTAATATTCTCGCCAATGCGCGGAGAACATTTCCTGAATAGCAGCCTATTCCGACACCCTCGCGATATACATCAAGCATCGCCAGTCAATGCAGCAACTACTCCGTTCAACACTGTCGACTACATGGTTTACAGTGCAGCGGTCACTGGTAGGACTGATCTGTGGTCGCATGTGATAAGTTCACTAAGCTTCTTTTGATTCCCAACAATGCACAATGCAACTTAATGCCAGCGTGTGAACCGTTCGTAACTCAGTAGATGATCTCTGACGGATTAAGTATCGCTTTCCAATTCACTTCCCCGATGGCTGAAGCCTTTAGGTGGCTGCCCTGGCCTATGGTCTGGCGCTGTGGTCCATGCCCCCTGGTCAGTGCCCTGACGGAGCCGCGCCGTTGCAGTGAGCGTGTGGCTGTCGCCGCCGGACCAGCCGGAGCGGAGGCAGATGTGGCAGTGCCGCTCCGTAGACCCGGAGCCCGACACCCTCTCAGGCCGCGCGCTGACACACCAGGCCGGCGGCCAGCACGCCGAAACGTTACAAGGTACGTGCCCCGAGAGCGGGCGTCCGAAAACAGCGCCATAACGACAGGCAGCAGTCGCCGCCGCCGGTTACTAGCCCGCCCGGTCACCCGCCGACTCCTGTACTGACCGAGACCTGACCCGGACACGGGCTGACTGCAGAGCACCGCTCCCCCGGGACCTGTCCCCGAGCGACTCCCCCGGGGGCGCAGGTCAGGTCAGCCGGAAGCCAGCCGAGCACCGAGACCCCTGGCAATGGGCGGACGAGAATGTCAAATCGTGTCAACGGCCGCCGACCGCCGAGACCGAGTCTCGACAGTGACCCCGGCGGTCAGAGCTCCGAGCTGAGCCATCAGGCAGTCCAGGGGCCCAGAGATGGGACCCGTCCGAAAGTCCCGCTCACTAAGACAAGATCGACCGGGAAATGATAATCATGCGGCTCCCAAAGGCACAAGGCGTTTGGGAGCCCACTCCACTCCACAATGACACAATAAACACACCTGAGAATGTCGATACTTCTAGCATCTCCAGCAGCGACTTGGCGCCAACATTTTGACTTCGGTGAGCGTAAGTGTGCAGTCTTATGGTGCTCAAAATGGTTCCACAGTTCAGCAAGTCTATAAAGTATCAATTTCCGGGACACACATGCTGAGTACTGAATTCGCAATTCTTGCAGCCACCTTAATTTACACATGAACATTGAACAGCTTACAGCGATTCTGGGCACAATTCTTCCACCAGCGGCATATCGGCAATAGCTGAGCCAACATTGGCATGTTGTTTTCAAAATATTAATGAAATAGAAAATGAAATATCTGACATCGAGGTCAATTCATACTTGGCCCAATTTCCCTAGTGTAGTATTATCTATGCCGTGCCGATATACATTTCATGGGGTCCAGTCATAAAGAAGACGGGATACACCTAGACAGTATGCTCAGATGACTATAGCCAGGAAGAGGAGGTAGTCGTAAGAGCGCCACACGTGCTCGTGCTCGTGCCGCGGTGTATCTGTTACCGATTGTCGCCTCTCTGTCGACAGAGAGACTGCTCGACGAACTGGCCCAGAGGACCGGACAGGCCGACCTGGACGGCACCGCGCCGCAGCGGCTGTTGGATGAGCTGGCCCCGCGGACTGGACGCGCCGGCCTCGACCGCGGCCAGGTCGAGACGCTGCTCGACCCCGCTCAAAGATGAGCCTCAGGCACCACGACCCCCGACCCGACCCGACCTGTCCCGGCCGAGCGCCGGCGCGGCGGCTGGCGACGGTCACCGCTCGCCGTCAGCCGTGCCTCGCAGTGCAAACGCCAGCTCCCTCAGTGGCCCGGCCGCCGCGCGGGGAATAGACACATGTTATATGGAGGCGACTGCATCCACCTGTTCTTTACTCACTGTAACTACACTGTGAGGGGAAAACAAACGCCCTTATGCATCCCATGACATACCGCATGACTAGTGCTTGAATGAGATCAGCATCTATCCAATAAAACTGTGTGGACATTGTTATAAAAATTGCTGGATCAGTGACACTTTCTTTAACGACACTTGCACAAGCCCACTTAGCGAGTGAGCACCAAACGAATGAGCGAGTGGCGAGTGACAAGCTTGATATAACCTAATGTAAAAAGGCATCGGACTATCAGTGGGCAAGGCCTTTTTACTTGAACTTACGTAAGTTCAAGGCTTATTTAGACATGTCAACACACATCACCTGAAGCATCCTATTATCACTGACGATGGATTAAGAGACTCATATTATTGATAAACGATTAACAAATTGACAACTCAAGGTCCACATTTCCATTAATCATCGCTCATATCCGCTCAAAGCTAAGCATGGAGCTCGCGAAAGTCATGATCCCGATAGGTAACACAAGATAGTAAAACCGTTTGCGCATTCAGAAGCCGAGAGAGGCAGATATGGCGACACGTTTTTTTTTTTTGCATTTAGTCTTGTGTATTGTGGGAAAACTATTTCTAATCGTGACGAACATGCAGAATAACAGCCCATTGGCCATCATAGACAAAAGGTAGAGATATTTGCAGGGCTGAGCGCACAGAGAGAACAATTAATACTTGATTGATATGTAACAACACAACAAATTGAAATGCTCACTATGCAGGTCACGCTGTCTCCATAATTACTTCAGCTCTCGACTCTCGAACGCGTCCCGAGCCCTGGGAGCGCCCCGCCATCGGTGACGTCACCCCCGAGTGGCTGGCGGTGTGGATGACGTCACCGGTGGGCCGGGCGGGGTGCCGTCACATGCCGGCCGGTGTGGTCCCGAGCCCCGGCCGGCACCGACCCAACGTGGAGCACCCGTCCCGGCCGCGGCCCGAGCCTGGCCAGTCACTGACACCGAACAGGCCCATCCGGACCCCACCCTGCTTACCTGTCCCGAAGGACCCAACGTATGCCCCGACTGATCTCCACCTCCTACTGGGTTGACACGGGACCCTTGCGGGCTGCGGCAGACCTGCACTTCCAGGCGGAAAGACCCGCTGTCCTTCGGACTGCTGCTCACTGGAATCTTTGGGTCCTTGTCCTGGAACTCAGGGAGGGACCCGGAGAGTCGTTGCCTCCCCGACCCCTACTCCGGAGTCCGGGATGGCGGGCGACTCGCCCAGCCTCTCCCGGACAGTGTACATAATATCAGCGCGCGGCGCGTGGCTCGCTCGGTTCTCCGCTGTGAGGAGGCAGCGCTGCTCTCGACTTGTTCTTGTTCTTGATTCGCCGTTTTGTGCGCGTCTTGGTGTGAACGTGAAATACATGTATGCATAGCGTATCGCTAGATACGGCTGTCGTGTGAACCGCGAGCCCGGGCCAGAACAGAACCAAAGCGAGCCACGGCCGGAACAAAATCGGAAAGAGCCAGGGCTGGTGCAGAACCACAACCAAACGTAATCAGCACAATACCTTAGCTAGCCATGGGCAAAACAGACAAAATCAGATAGAACCAGAGTCAGAGCGGAACCGGAACGAGCCCGAGTGAAAAAGGACCGAAACGAAACGAAATCAGAGAAGAACCGGAACGAGACATAGTCCGAGCAGAACCAAAACGAGCCAGGGCTAGAAACAAATAATGTAGAGCCAGAGTCACAACACGGTCAGAAAAAAGATAGATTCGGGGTCAAAACAATGTGATCAGAACATGACAGCAGGGCTCTAACTGTCTTTACGACGATGACGGGGCGCGGGACAGGACCAGGACGAAGCCCAGGTTCAGGAGCTACCTGCACGATCGGAGACAGGTGGTGACCGGCGGCTCCTCCGATCCCCTCCCGCTGACCCATGGCGTGGCCCAGGGGTCCATCCTCGGCCCAATCCTCTTCCTCATCCTCATCAACGACCTTCCCTGTTTTCTCACCCATGGTCGACTCCTCTCCTACGCAGACGACACCCAACTCCTCGACCACTCACTTCCAACAACCTCAGACCTCTCTCAGCTCAGATGTCGTGTCGAGCAGTCAATCTTCGATCTCCAGCTGTGGTTCCAGGCCAACAGTCTAAAAATGAACCAAAACAAAACCTTTATCACTCTCATCGGAACCCAGCAAACTCTAAAAAAGACCGAGTCATTCTACGTCTCACTCTCCGGTAACGACATTCGGCCAAGTCAGACCGTCAAAATTTTGGGTGTGCTGCTCGACCGACACCTGACGTGGGATCCCCACATAACCATGGTTGTGCGTCGCTGCAACTCCATCCTCGCATCCCTCCACAAAATCCGGCACCACCTCACACCTGACGTCCTTAAACTCCTAGTCCAAGCCCACGTGTTCCCACACATTCAGTATTGCCTGTCCGTCTGGGGAGGAGCCGCCAAGTGTCAAATGCAGCGCGTCCAAAAGACGATGAACTTCGCCGCCAGACTTGTGACCGGGACGCGACGGTCCGAGCATATATCGCCGGCGTTGGAGTCGCTTGGTTGGGAGAGGGTGGATGTGATGCTGCGCCGCCATGATCATGTTCACGTCCAGAGAGCCCTGTATAATGACCAATGTCCCCCAGCGATGTCGGCCATGTTCACCCGCCGGGCCGAAGTGTCGTCACGTGACACTCGCGCGGTAGCAGCCGGGAAGTTGCAGCTCCCGAAGTGGCGGCTCGCAAGAACTCAGCGGGAGTTTGCATATAGAGCGGCAGCATCGTGGAATGCGAAGGACACCGCCACAGGCACCTGATTTTATAATGTCAACCTGCTGATGTCAACTTCCTACATGCGGATGATGCGTTCGCGAGTGTTTTAATGTAATCGTCGATGTGTTTTAACGTAGCTTTTGCCATTGTATCAGTATCATATATTTTTAACTGGGTCTCATTTAGCTCTTATGTCACCATGTCACATTCCTGACCGGATTCTTAATACCCACCCCGTGGAAGAATTCTAATAAATGACTTTGACTTTGACTTTGACAGGTGGCGGCGGGCCGGTGCGAGGGCAGGAGGAGTCAGTCGCCCACAGCTGTCCCGTTCGGTGGGCAGCTTCAGCGGGGGGCCGAGCTCGGAACAGCAGGCGATTGGTGCGGTCCCCACGGAGCAATACGCCCACACATCTCCCGCCAGAGTGAACGCACCACTCGGAATGGATTCGGTGCGCAAACACGCACCCAACGCTTCGAGCTTTCGCTCGACCAAATAGTCCACTTCACGGGAACACAGCTTTAGCACATCACGGCGTTACTAAGAAGAAGGAGCAACTAAACAAGTGCGTACAATGTCCGTCCTCAATGCAGTTTGAACTAACAATCAGAAAGGCATAAAACGTCAAAGAGCACAATGTAAACGAATATCTCAAAATTTAAGCTTGAATGGCTACGACGTAGTCCTCGTACGATGCATACTCAACACTCACTATTTGTCAACATGCGCCCGTGCGGCCGCCTGGCGGCGCGTCCCTCGGGCTTAGAGTGCCCGGAGTGAGACTCAGAGAGGTGTCCAGTTCACACAGCCCGTGACTGGCGCGGCAGTATGAAGTCCCTGGAGCCGAGGCCAGTCGCCAGCCAGGCCACCTCGTCAGCGGCCGGCAGCACTGCCGTCGCCGTCCACTGGCCAGGCTGGACACCCGTGTACGCATGCCATTCAGAAACAATCCACTGAGCCAGTGGCGGTGTGGATAGCTGATATGACCGACATTTGCACTACTCACCATCAGTGGTAATGAAATCCAGGTAGCCCAAGTGAGACGGTGTAACCATAACTATTCAAGGCATGTTTGAAGGAATAGTCCTTAATCTAAGAATAAGCCAAAGGTAGGTAAAGTTAGTTTAATAGGACACAGCCTGTTCCTAATTCATCATCACAGGTTATTGGACAGGGCCTGCCCCGTATTTGGTATCCTAGAATAGTTGTCGGTCCATGTCAACTGGATTGCACCAGTCGAGTCGCGACAATCTTTAACGTTCATCGACCAGCTGGAACATGTCAGCTCGTACTTACCTGACTGAAACGTTGGACATCCGACCAGCCTTGGACATCGGACACCACCAGGGAACGACAAAGTGACTTCAATAATCCACACACACTGCGAGAGCTGCACCGCTCAGCAGCTGCGCATTGGTGCGCTCACTGATTACCGGTGTTGATTCCTGATCACGGGCCGGTTCGAGATGGCGCACTAGGAGGCTAGTAAGACTAGGTGGCGAAATGACACTTTAACCCGGCAGTTGCTGGGGTATTTCGCCACCCACCGTTTGCTGGGGGGGGGGGGGGCGTTAAACGCCCCCAGCCGATAACTCGAGAACCAATAGGCGCAGCGAAACGCACGAGGCGGCAAACGAAAGAACGCGACGAGACGCTTCAGATGAGTACTTTTAAGTTGAACTTTGAGGTTACAGGTCAGGTCAAGGTCAGGTCAAACACCTGAAATCGGGCTTTCAGTAGCATGAACTTCAGAACTTCGCAGTGGGCGCCTCTCGTCATAAACTCTGTCAAAACGGTGCACAATCCATCATATAAGGCCTACAAGAGTGTCAGCTCCATGAAGGGGTCAGTCAAGCATAGGTCAGGGTCAAGGTCAGGTCAACCGGGTAGGCACATATCCCCGAAAATCAAAACTGATATTCGCAGCCTGTGACACATGTTTTATGGGTAATTTGGGGCGTAGAACACGATGGTGACATTCCTTTTATCATACGTGCACGTGTTTGGCTCAAAAAGTTCAATTTAAGAAATGCATGTATCATGGTCGTGAAGTAGTCACGAGAAATTGCCAAGATTCAGTTCAAGATTTTGGAAAATGCGGAACGATAATCAATAATCGAAGATAGCCATCAGGGGGTGACACCGTAATGCTGTGCCATAGGCCGATGTTGTAGCCAGCTGATGAGCAGGAATGACGTCATCGGCCCATGATAGCCCTGACCAATGTGATCCAACCCATTGCGACTTAACCCGGCACCGCCTGGGCTATTTCCGTACCCACGACAGCCTGGGGGGGGGGGGTCGGATCCCACCCCCCCTGTTATCTCGAGAACCAATGGTCGTATCGAGCCCCGCGAGGCGGCGTTCGAAAGGTCTCTACGAGACCTTCCCAAAACACTCTTAAGATTTTAAGATTGAGGTCAACTTTCGGGTCAAGGTCAGGTCAAAGGTCAAATTCTGGGGTTTTGCATGATTAGGCTTACGGACAGCGGAATCGACAGCTGCTGCTCGAAACTCACCAAAAACGACCTCAAAGGCCTAGTGAAGGTACCATGTGCGTATAGGGGTCATACTAAGTACGGGTCAAGGTCAGGTCAGGTCACGAAAGGTCACGGTTTTCACTTTCTGCTACATGGGCGTGCGACACATGTTTTATGGCTTATTTTTCACGCCGAATCCGATGGTAATGGTTATATGTGACCCCAAGTCACTGTGCTGGGTGATAAGTGTGCATTGAAAGCATAAAAAATCGTTTATACCATACATAACTAAGAGAGGGCTAAGAAAAAAGGTCAATTTTTCAACTTTTTATTTTTGACATAAAAATACACTTTTCTAGACGAGCTTTATCCCAGGAATCTAGTGGTGCCATTTGTTTTCACATGCGATGTTCAGAAGTGCCTCTAATTCACGAAAATGCTTATGACGTCACCATGCCCTATGCATATTGGAGCTATTTTTTACAATTTGGGGGTCAAAAATCAAGATAGAAAGTTGAAATTTGGGACATCTAATGTTCTAATAGAGCTCTATAACATATATTCCGGTTTTTTGGAAATTCTCAAAATTTTGGATTTTATGAGCTGTTTTTCAAAAAATATAAGTTTTTTGAATTTTTAGGGGTGTAAAACGCATTTTATGGAAAATCCGAGATAGCCATTTTAAAGAAATCGTTGAGCTACATCTATTCATGTCCTTAATTTGCAATTTGCTTTAAACCCTGATTTTTGGCGATTTTTTAAACATTTACCACTTTTTGACTGAAAACGCCATGTAGTTACATCACTAAAATCGATATATCTCAAAAAATTTTAGAAATTTTTTCTCCAAAATTGCACAGGAGACGTCAAATTGATGGGAGAGAAATTATGCCAAGTTTCAAGTCGATAGCGTAAGCGGTTCATAAGTTATTCAAGAAAAACGGAGGGGGGTCGGATCCGACCCCCCCAGGCGGTCGCGGGTTAAGGTGACCTCTGTGACTTGGCCTGACCCATCGTGACCCTGGGTGGCCTCTGTGACCTGACCTGACCCAGGGTGACCTGAGGTGACCTAAAGTGACCTTTGTGACCTGAAATGACCCAGCGTGACCTAATTTGACCTTTTTATCTGGAATTCACCCATTTGGACCCCTTCGTTCAGCTTTTCGCGTAAGT